GCGCCGTCCCCTCCCGTCCCGCTCTCCCGGCGGGCCCTCCCATTAGATGCGAAATGCGCATCGGCTGCATTTTTTTTTGCGTTCCCCAGCGCGGCTCGGAAGTCCCCTTTTCAGCACACTTCCCCCTTACCGAGGGGTCAGCATCCTGGGAGAGCTGCCCAGCACATGCGGCAGCCTCTGTACGAAGTGGCCATGCACGGATTTTTCTGCCTAGTATTTTGAAATGCGTACAGAAGTACACCCAACATGACACTCGAATACATGATTAAGTTCTATAAGTTTCAATTTTAAAGTTGTCATTAGCATTTGATACGAAATTTATGGCAATATTTAGTTTGTGGACAACACATCTATTGGTAATTGTATGGGCTTTTAAAACCATGGAGTAATACATTAATTGACTGCTCTGCTTGAGTAGAAAGCTTTCACAGACTTGATTTAGCCTGCAGCTGTTTTCTCCGTAGGCATAGAGGGAGATAAGGACAACTGTGTAGTAAAAATAACTGTACAACGTTGATTTTCTTCTTTATTCTTTGTAAACAGGAGATTCAGATTTGCACCTTGGTTTGGCCCAGCATTGCAGGAGAAATAGTTTGGGATGTGACCTTTGCCATTGTTTTCTTTCTAATACCAGGTTTAGTCATTGTCATCAGTTATTCCAAAATCTTACAGGTATGTTTTTCCTTTACATTTTGTTGTAGAACAAAGGGAAGTAAACAGTAACTCACTAGGCATCAACATGTTGTCACTGAATACAAATACACCTAAAGGGAATAGACATCATTTGCTCAGTAAATGGTAAGTATGTGGTATAAAATGAGGTACTTCAACCTGTACAGCCTATATGTTTCAACTAAGAACGTGCTTGAACAGCACATTACCAGAAGCCCAACACAAAGTTTGTCTTCATTTATATGTAGTATTTAATACACTTCCCCATTTATGCGCTGTTCATATTGAAAGTCTGTCAATCTGCTAAATGCTAAAAGTGTCAAGCATTTGAAATAACTAAAAACTAGATTTTGCTTTCCTTGAGCCTAAACTCCAGAGTCACAAGGGATTTGTAAGAAAGCAAAGAGAGGCAGGACTAGAAAAAATCCATCCCCTTTTAGATCTGCTGATTTTCTGCATGTATTTTTAGTACACAGATCTCGTTAGATTACACTAATTCCTCCACAATTTCAAACTTTGTGAACAAAAACTGTAAATTAAACACTCTGCTTCCATTTTCTTTCTGAGTGGATGTGGTTTAACTGCTGAAATATAGGCCAAGACACCAGGCACCACAGAGTTTTAATCTATGTTCTAGCAAGCATGATATTAGTTATCTAAATCCCTTTTAAAACATCTGATTTCGTAGCCCTTCCTCTTCCAAAAACAGAGTGAGAAAGAGCTAGAAATCTTCAAACTAGGCGCTGCAATGCCTAGTTTTTAGCAACTGCCCCCAAAAGATTCTTGATTCCTGTATTAGGTAATTAAACTTCTCATATATAAGGAAATTACAGGTTTTGGAAAGGAACTTCAAAATACACAGATTATTGAGCAGGGAATTAACTGATGGAATGCTGAGCACCAAGGGGCTGTGGGTGCATGCACCAGAGCTGCACGTAGATGTTTCCATGAACCTAGGACCTAGAATCTGGGCTCTACATGTACTTGCCTATTGATCAGGCTTAAACTCGTAGTCAAAATCATCAGCTCTTAGTTTCTGTACACTCTATAAGCTCATTACAACCTTGAGGTAAATGCATTGGGTAAACATCTTCTAGCGAAGTAAAGCACTTGCCTTTTGCAACCTCGTATTGGCTGTAGGCAAAGAACATGCAGTAACTGGGCGGGGAGCCTGAGCCCTTTGAAAGAACTACAAAAACTGCAGGCCAAGGAATGCCACAGTCCTTGGTCAGAGACTGGGACAGTAATGGCGTTCCTCTTGTCCATGCAGACTCCAGATGACAGGTAAATTCAGAAAACACAGTGGCATGTATTTGGGGGCTACAAGCTCCAAAAAGGTGTTTGGAATACTGGATTACAAGACAGCCCCATGCTGCCGTGCTCACGTTTCTTTTCCAGCTTGATAAGCTGGAAAACACAGATGCTAAGATGCGTTGGCATTTTTCCTGAACTGAAAAAGAAACGAGGCCCATAGCAGGATCCCATCTGTTGTAACTGAATCTTCTCTCTCACGCAGCTCTCCAGGAAGCAACCAGAACTCGGCTGGAGAATGTCTTAATCCGAGTCATTCCCAAGAGCTGATTCACTCTCACTTCGTGAGAACGCTCCGTGATGCCAGTGCACACAGAGTACAATGCTCAGTGTTACTGGAAGCAGTTCAAAGCATTCGTGTATTCAAATAACAGAGCATCTATGATGGTGATGATTCACTACAGATATAAGACCTCAAATTTGTTAACAAATATACTCTACAAATGTATACTTTACAATTTAATCTGAAACTAAGTATTATTTTTACGTAACACTTCCCAGAACCCTGACAAAAATGACAGATTAGAAGCCATGATTTGTAGTTAAGTTATTTGTTTTTGTGTTGTTCTCCCTCTCAGGCAAGACTTGGATAAGAGGCTAGAACTAGTAAAGATGTTCATGTTCTGGAAGTTACGTACTTGTATATACATGACTGCTAAGTTCCTGGTTCTCAGAGTGTGCTCCAGATGCCCACTATAGGTATCTAGATTCCTTATACTAGGCAGACCAAAAAGAGATCCAAAACATATCACTGCCACCCCATTTCAGTTGAGCACTTCCTTAAGATGCAGTTGCGTCTTATTTACTGCAGTCCTGGTGATTCCCGCATTCTTAGTTCTAGGCTGTGCAGCTCCAGCAGGAAAGATGGAGGGTGCTTATATGGGACAGATACAACGGTATCTGATGAGGACATTCTGTAGCCGTTTTGAACAGTGGAGGCTGAGGAGGGTACAGAACTTGGTTTTCCCACTTTTATATTAGAAGTGGACATTAGTCCTTTGTGTTTCCTGAAACCCTCATTCTTCCTAAGACAGGTTAGGTGGTCTCTGAGAACAACTCTTGGATCGGATTGTTTGGAGGAGTTAGCCTAGTTTCTGGATTCCAAATGGATACAGCAGAAGATCATCAGGCTGGAACAGTTTTACACGTTCAAAACATCAGAATTCTCTGCCCCTTTTAAGTCAGGGCAGCAGCTAGTGAGACTGTCCCCTTCTCAGGCTCAGTAGATGCTGAGAAGCCCATTTTTGGGTCACAGGTTTTGATTCATACACCTACATTCTGTTGAAAACTTTGGTAGATGTCTAGCTTCTTAATGAATATTTATTCTAGGCCATCTGTCTCTGTGACACATCTATCTCTGTGACAAATTCTGAAAACTGCAGAAAGAATGACAAGTTACTCGATATATATATAACCATTTTCATCCTTACCTGAACTAGGAAGCTATTAAGTATTACTAGTGTTCGCAGGAAGAGCCTTACGCCTTTTGACTTTCCTACTTAGACACCAAATTGATCGAGGCTTTTGAAAATACTCCTTCTTTACCCACGCAGGGGGTAAAATGGCATCCCAATTATTCAGCCTAAATGTTTGTTTGCTAAATATTTCAATTTTGTTTTATTTGCATCAGATATGTGAATGTAAGAGACTTACTGTGCTATGCCAACTTCAGTGAAGACAGGGATGTAAAGCATGAGATTTAGAGTTTTCTGCAAGCCTTTGGGATTCAGTATTCTGCCTAATGACAGATGATTCACACCCATGAATACTAGATTCCCAAACTACCCATAGTCTGGTTTATTACATCAGACAGTACTTTTACGAGACACGGATTTTCATAGTGACAAAAGGATCTGTAAGATTTCAGGTTAGTTCATAGAAAGAAATTCTGATTACTGACTGAAAAACTAAAAGTGTACACAAAAAAACGTAAAATCCCATTCAAATTTAAAATGTATCATGATTTAGTTACCGTAATAAATTCATGCTCCTTCTAATACCTACCTTACAATATCAGCATGGCCATAAGAGAATTGGATTGCATTCCTTCTTGCGCATCAACAGGATTGTTAACTATGTTCCAGTTTGCATTTGTGAAAAAAAATCAATGGGTTTATTTAGATAGAACAAATTAGGTCATAATTTGAAGTTAATGGGGTTTCATGAGTAATTAAGACTATTTTATGCTGAAAAGTATTTATGGCTGGTAGAGAGCCATGAGGAGAACAACCAGCTTGACTAATATTGAGGTGAGTTCACAGCTGAGAGGGAGAAAAAATGCTAGTGAAGTGTGAATGTTTGAAATGGAACCATTGACAAAAAGGAGAAATCTAATTCTGCAATGCCTTTTTTGTAGTCACTTTTCAAAACAGAAACATCATGTGCCAAGATTTACTTTTGCACTTGTAAAAATGTGTTAATAATTCTTCTAGGTTTCAGTGAAAGTTACTTTCTTCTCTTTTACTGCAGATTACAAAAGCATCAAGACAGAGTTTAAATGCTGGTTTAGCCTACTCAGAAAATCATCAGATTCGTGTTTCCCAGCAAGACTACAAACTATTCCGAGCCCTCTTTGTGTTGATGATCTCTTTCTTCATCATGTGGAGCCCAATTATAATAATTATTCTTTTAATTTTAGTTCAGAACTACAAAAAAGATTTAAATATTTTGCCATCAGTTTTCTTCTGGATAGTGTTATTCACTTTTGCCAACTCTGCTGTCAATCCAATTTTGTATAACCTTGCCCATTTCAGACGTAAATGTCGGGAGATTCTTCTCTGTTGTACAGGGAACCCTGTAAGGCATGGGGCTGGTACAGAAACCACTGCAAGAAGAAGTAACCATGAACAACCAAATTTGTCTTTCATTACCAGATAATTATTTGAAGTCTGAGCTGTGCCAGATTGGATGTTAGTGTCTACACTATCCCAGGTGGAATAGGTCACTATGTTATAGTATTATATGCCAGAGAAGGAAAAAAAACCCCTAAATCTGTATTTTTAATTCCTGCAGGTAAAATTCTCTTGACTTCACTGCTTTGCCCCAGTAAGATCTGGACAATTTAATCGAATGGATTGAATTCTCCACTTACACTGAAATAAATAGGAATATGGTAGTGAACTTGGCGAATGTAAAATAGTTGAAATAAGTATTTACCAGATGAATTAATTTCTATGAGGGTACATTTTCAGTTGGCATAAGTGAGTAACTTTACCTCTTTGTGTTGATGATCTCTTTCTTCATCATGTGGAGCCCAATTATAATAATTATTCTTTTAATTTTAGTTCAGAACTACAAAAAAGATTTAAATATTTTGCCATCAGTTTTCTTCTGGATAGTGTTATTCACTTTTGCCAACTCTGCTGTCAATCCAATTTTGTATAACCTTGCCCATTTCAGACGTAAATGTCGGGAGATTCTTCTCTGTTGTACAGGGAACCCTGTAAGGCATGGGGCTGGTACAGAAACCACTGCAAGAAGAAGTAACCATGAACAACCAAATTTGTCTTTCATTACCAGATAATTATTTGAAGTCTGAGCTGTGCCAGATTGGATGTTAGTGTCTACACTATCCCAGGTGGAATAGGTCACTATGTTATAGTATTATATGCCAGAGAAGGAAAAAAAACCCCTAAATCTGTATTTTTAATTCCTGCAGGTAAAATTCTCTTGACTTCACTGCTTTGCCCCAGTAAGATCTGGACAATTTAATCGAATGGATTGAATTCTCCACTTACACTGAAATAAATAGGAATATGGTAGTGAACTTGGCGAATGTAAAATAGTTGAAATAAGTATTTACCAGATGAATTAATTTCTATGAGGGTACATTTTCAGTTGGCATAAGTGTCATTAACTTTAATAAAGTTATAGTGAATCTATATCAAGAGGGCACCTGATCCACTTTTACTCTATTTTCTACTGAGTAAGAGAGATCAACTTTCTAGTGAAAATGTACATCCTCAGAAAGTATCTGCTCTTTTTTCCAATCCCATTTTAAAAATGCACTTGATTATACACTTAGATAACTGACTGCCTGAACATAGGTTTGGGCAGACTAACCAATTTCGTGTAGGAAACGATGATAAACATGTATTATCACCAAGTGAATGACCAATTTAGTTCCATCTCAAATTAAAAATATGGACACAACGCCTGTTAATTTATAAATAAAGAATAAATAAATAAATGTTTACTTGTGTGTAAAATAGTTCTTTAAAAAAGATGCATATTTTTTATGTCTTCAGTAGTCATATAACAAAGTTAACCAGTGATATATAGGGTCACTGAAATTCCTTCCTCCTTTATGAAATTCCATTTGGAACGATTTCCAGTATTTCCTAGAAAAAAGGTGACATTGTATTTGAAAAGAAATTAAAAGTTTTAGAAAGCAAATACATGTATTTGGTTTTTTTTTAATTAAAACTCTTTTAGTCAGAAATTGAAACCACTAAAAAAAGAAAGATTAAATTCTTCATTATCGCCATCTGTCACCAATTCAAAATAGTGCATTAAGATAACGGTTTACTAATAAAACCAATGTCTACATATGTACAGAAGTGCATACAAACAATTTGCATCCCCTGTAATCCAAGTTTATTAAAATGTTTCATTGGTTTATTAACAAGGTGAGCTACACAGCTCAGATAAATATACTCAAAATCTAAATGAAGCCGTTTAAAAGGTTTTCAAGAGAACACCCGATCAGTGTGTTAACTTTACATCCGTGGTGCTGTTACATGGTTTCTTTCCATAGTTTTGGATCTCCTTAAGAGCAAAATCCTGAAACACACAAAAACCAAAATTGCATTTTTCAACCACACTAGACAAAATTAAAATACACAAGCTTTCACCAAATTTAAAATGCATACATATCAAATTTCTTTAAAATGCTCTTGAGCCCGGCAGTCTCTTACTTGTAATGATACTGCCAGTACCTTGCTCTGCAGTTTATAATTCAAAAAAATTTTCAACTCGGAACAAAACAGGAATTCATCCAATTTGGTACACCTGTCCTGAGCATTTTAATACTTTGGCAAACAAGGTACTCCATAGATCAGTGATAAAGAGTTACTTATTTACTTTAACAAGCTTCAATTATTTGCCTTTTAAAAATTATTAGTTTAAGAATGTCTTTCAACAACATAAGAATCTCCTGACCTCCAAAACTTCTAATGGCAATAGTAAATTAGCTGAAGGAATATACCACTCTTTAATTCACAACTTTTGCTTCTAGTAAATGCTAACAGCAGATTCATCTTTCAACTCTACTAACATGATGTCGTATTGTATTTACAAGCGGTCCCACTGTGATATCCACACTCACATTGCATAACTTAAAGGAACTTGAGCTATTACTCTGAGAGACGAAGTGTATCACAGCCTGATCCATATTTGGAAAGGAGCTACCATCAGAAATGCAATGCAAGTTACAACCAAAAAACTCATAATTTCCTAGGCTTCTCTTTTGCCTTAAAGAGCCAGTATAAAAAGAACAGATATTTTAGATTTTTATTTCCATCAAGGTAAGTTTTGCACATCTATTAGGGGTTTTTTTTGAGAACTTAATTTGAGTACAGTATTAATTTAAAAAGCTAATGAAAAATCTTTGGGGAAAAAATTAGCTTCAAGACATCGGCAGAGTATGCACAATTAGAGCCTATTCTTGCAGCCACCTATTAACATCAGTCAGAATTTTAGCACAATAACAACTGAATGCAGGTCAGTACAGGCAATTGAAGTTGGCTTTTTTTTTGCTACTAATTCTGTAACTCTTAATAGCAGAATTAAAACTAAAGTAGCAAGGCTTCCAATCCCACTCATAAGGAATTAAGTGAATTTTCTAAGAGTTTCTGATATAAAGCTTTCAATAAATGTTTTTTTTCAGTTCAGCTCACAATCATTTTCTCATTCCCAAATGTACTTGCTTTGCAGGAACTTTGGCTTAATGATACTGGAGAATTCAGAATCAACTAACACTGTGGTAATTACAGGTCCTGATCACAGTGAGAGGAGAATGCAAATTGCTGGCTTTAAGTTTCATTTATACTTTGGTGCTAGGCTCATAAAGATTAACTCTGGCATAATCCTCAATAAAAAGCAGACAGCATTCAGGACCCAGGCCACTATTTTTCATTTACAAACAGTATGGAACTCGCATAGTCTTATCAGACACTGCACTCAACACCTAACATCTGAATATAAATTAGGGTAGCAGACAAAGAATGCAGCACTTTTGGTGCAGCTTGGTAGATTTGATATTTCTATAACAAACTAGAGGCAGCATGATCAGCTTTTAAATTAAGGTTGGGAAGTCAAAGAATATTTAAGGCTGAACTTTCAAAAGACATTCCAAGCTTTTATTTTTAAATGACACTATTGGTTCTATATTCTGTGAAAAAATACAAGCATTCTATTATATAGAAGTTCTGAGATATTTGAAGAAGTTATATCACAAATTATGAATTAATGAATATATTCAATTTTTCTTTTTGGTTTATACTTTCTTGCAAAGATTGACAATACATTTATCACCTTGCAAGCCTCATATAGTGTAGAAATAATAGAAACACAGGTTCCACCATGCTGAATCAGACCAGTACTTGGACTAGCCCAATATCCTGATTTTACAGTGGGAGAGTACTTTCTCTGGGTTTGACAGAAATGCAAGGAACCACCGTAACACACCCCTCTCAAAGTCACAGCACAACAGCTGTATATCTACACTTTATCTTAGATTTAATACAAAAACATCCCTAATCATCTCATTATTTTGTTTTCTCATCTTCAGAAATTTTTATTCTTGCTGTACTTCATTTGAAGAGCAGTGAATGCAGCATTCAAACCAAGAAAGTATCATCAATTTATATGACATTGTTTCTTTTCTATCCTACCCTTTATGCAATCATACACATCATTCACAAAAGCCAATTTCATTTGCATTTATGCTGTCTCTTAGTCTTGACTACCTTAAATCTCAACTGTCTCTTATGTTGTCTCCAAATTCTCATTCAAGACAAAATCTTTATTTTCATTGTTGTCAGGCACTTTTTCCAGGTCACTAATCAGTATTCTAAACACCACCCACCTTAGCAGATCTTTCAGGCACCCTGTTATCAGCATACCTACTTTACAACATGGCAATATATTACTCTCTGTTTATAAATCAGATGAACAGGTAATAGAGCCACAAGAGCTGACTGTGCTCATCTGTTCTGACTTTCTTTATAATACACAAAAGTTCCTTCAGTCAATCCCAGTTTATTCTAACATGTCATTTAGAAAAGCCTTTAATCTTGATTTACAGATTTCAGTGATGAAGAACATACAACAGCTCTTGGTAAACTGTTCCAAAGGTTAATGACCTTTGGACTTAAACAAATGGCTATTTATTTCTGCTCTGAATGTGTCCAGTTTAAAGTTCCATCCATTTTAATTTATTATTCCTATGTTTGCAAGTCCTTTATTATCCAATTCCCATTGTTTGTGTGGGCAAGCACAGACTTTGCTCAGGTCAGCCTTTAACCTCTTTCTGATGAGAAAAGATCAAGGTCTTTGAAGCACTCACTAGAGGACACATTTTTACAAACTTTCAGTCATTTTCTCTGCTCTTCTTTGAAACTTCCAATTCATCCTTGGTACCCTTTCCAGTTATGATTATCATCAAACGTGACATAGCAAGCAGACCTATGCCAAGCACAACAGTCTCATATGAGTCTGTAAATTCATCTTTTGCATCCTTGGTTTATGCATCCAAGAATCACATTAACTCTTTTGGCTACAGCATTACATTGGGAGTTCACATTCAGCTGATTCACCAGTCAAGTCTTCTGTAGATATCGTGTCTTCCAGAATGCAAGGCGGGGTAGGGACAAGTACGCTACTATTTTATTCGTTCTAAATATTCTGATCTGTCTTCTTCATTCTTTACTATTCCCCACCTGGGTGTAATCTTTACCAGTAAGTATATTACGTTTTCTTCCAGATCATTGATTAATGTAGCATAAATTACAATTTGACCTTTTCTAATATACTTGAGCACAAGTGAACTAATCTGTCTCCTTCCCTGTGTTGCAAGCTCAGCCTGACTTATGACTCAAGATAGAGTCATACTTCCAGTATGAGGGATATGTCCCTCTTCCACAACCCTTCATGAAACGGTTGGCATGAGGGCCTGTG